GAACTTGCTCTTTCAGCTCTCATGTTTAATGTAAAAATAAAGCCCGTTCTACGGATGGAATTGAATTGCAGGCAACATCCATCCATTCCTGCAGCTTATGGAACTTTCACTCTATTAATCTACATCAGTACACAACTCAGATAGATGAAACAATCTTTAAAGATGGATGACATAGTATTTTAAGGTTCTTGAAAGAGAATCATGAGGCTTTACTGCCTTCCATTTTCTTCCATGAACTTGGGAAAAAAATAAGAAAGACAGGTACAGGCAAAAGCAGCAAAAATTCTGATGCTACTTAATGTGATCCACATTTCTGAAATGATAATTTTCAGGGTTCTTGTAATCTTGCTAATGGGATGCAGCCCAGAAGTTACTCTGGATGAAGGAGTTAAACGTAAATGAAAAGGAATTGAGGAGGGTGAAGATGCACGGTTTTCAATTAAACAGCACTTTGCTATTTTCTCACTAAGGAAAAGGAGATGTAGACTTCTACCACTTACATTTCTTTCTCCTCTCCAAAGTAATTAAAGAACTCTGAAAGTGAAGAGGATCGTGACATTATCCAACATGATCCAACTCTGGGGAAAGCTTTTCTGAGACATGAGTAGTCTTTTCATTTTTCCCTATCTCCCTAAGAATGTTGGTTTTGATGAAAATATTTTCCTTCCCATTATGGCTCAGTGACATGAAGCTCTCTCTTAAAAACAAAACAAAATGGAAAACCATCTTCATTTCCACCTGGGGCTGGGGGTGAAGAGGGGAAAAGCAGAAATGGAAAACTGGCAAACACCCTTGGAAGGGAGGCTAATGCATTCTTTCGGGTCAAAATCATCTAATTTTGTGGTCACTTTCATTGACGAGTCAGTCTGATTTTCAGCATCCAGACACTGGCTTAAAGCACTGTGGACATTCCTTTGCTTCCCTCCTGGACTGTTTTGAGTTCACTTGATTATATCCTTATTTGGATATTACATTTTGATAATAAGGGACACAGGATATCTCGCTTCCTCTGATTCTTTAAATACTGTCATTTATCAGCACTCAATTTTTAATAGATGGCACTTAATGACATCAGCACAAAGAAGGTACTTCTGACCATGTGTCACTTCATGAATCTGGAGACCCACACATCTCCTGCAGAGTGTCCCACTCAACAAACATCACATCAAATGTCTAGCCAAGCGACTTCATACCTTGGGTCTCAAACCATTTGTGATTTTCACAAATTTTTCAATCAGACAGAGAACATTTTGCTACCTCTACTTCTTCCCTGACTGCTCTGTGTTGTCCCAGATTTACCAGGCATAGAAAGTGGCATTGTTTTGCTTTGTATCCATTTCTGTACCATTCCCCTAAAATGGTGATAAAGGTACACTGATATCCTCTGGTTCTGGGTTAGCGATTTTTGAGTTCACAAACTTGATGGTAAATTTCAAGATTGACTGGTATGCTAAAATTTCACCTGTCCTCTCCTTTTTCATCATCAGTATTTGCTGAGCACCCAATTGTGGGCGGTGTGCTGGGCCCTGTTCGGAATTGGCTCAAATTGAAGAGGACTGAACATAGAGTCCTAGGAGTCCCCAGTTCTGGCTCTTGTTGACTCTAGCTATGGGATTTCAGGCAAATAATTTATTCTCTCTGGGCTTTATTTAGTCCTAATATGCAAGATGAGTACTAGCTGCATGCCAACGCTCCTTTGATTTTCCAAGGACAGTGAGTAGAAGCAGTCTGGAGAAACATCAGCAGTGTCACAGGCTGTGTGTGTCTGCACTTTCTGTCTCTCTCCCAAGTGTGCACACCCCCACACTTTACTTAACTCACAGGGCGATTTCTTTTAGACATGACCTAATTTTATTTAGGCTCAGAATCTTGTCAGTGTGGGTCTCCATAGTTGCTTTATGCAATTAAAATATGGAATACGAGACTGGAGCTCAGACTTTATTATTATTAGTCATGCTCAAAAGAAAAATGAAGAACCCATCTAGTACAGCGATGGGTCATGAAAAAAAAAGAAAACACAATCAAGAGTAGTTTCAAAACTGAAGCACCTCACGAGACTAAATATTAGGAAAAGCACAATCTCAGAAATGTCAGAATAGTTACATGTAGAAAACTCTTGAAAAGAAAACACACTTAAATTGGAACACTCATCTATGGGAAAAAGAAACAGTCATAGAATATTGGCAAAGTCTTATGATGAACATCTGCAATCTAGGCTTTAAATGATGATAATAATTGATATTAACAAGTGTTGGATGCAATTTAAGACATGCATTTTTAAAATGTGGGGTTTAAGCAAATAGATTCTAGAGGTGAAAGGCAGAAAAGAAAAGTTAGAAGACCCTCTGACCTTAGTGAGAAGAATACACTAGTCTCTACCTGCAAGAATGTGCTTGATGTGTAGCAGCTACGAAAGCACAGTGGAAACCAAGCCAAAAACCTGCTCCTTTGGCTAGACAGGAAGAAACAAAAGGCAAGGGGAAAACAGACAGGCATGAAGGATGCATCATTATGCACAATCTTTCAAAACTGAATTAAAGAGGAAAATGATTTGCTTCTTGTTCTCAAAAATAAAAGTAGAGAGGCCTAAGATGTCGTTTACATACTTTTAACAAACAAAATGATTGATCAATGGAAAAAAATCTTTTCTTATCCATGGGACCATCTCTCCTGAATCCACAATGGTTTGCTAGGTTTTGATTTTACTGTTTCAGATAGAAGGACGTGAAGAGAAGTAATACACACATTAAAGTACATTTTCTCCAAGGGGAATCAAAATTTTGCAGTTTTTTTTAAGACCAAGCACCTTCCATCTAATGATTTCTGAAATAGAGACTGGATAAAAAGAAATAACATGCTGTTTTTTGTTCCCCATGCCAAGGCCTTGTACGCCACTTTGGGAATGCAAATTTTTTAAATAAACTATTCACTTAAACACGAGTGATTTATAGAAAAGACAAATTAGGCTGTCCTCAGAGCCATTAGCTAAAACAATAATCTTTTGCATAATGTAGCTTTGTTATCTCTTCTAAGATTATGTGTATGTGCAAATAGCAACCCCCTCCCCCAGTATCTTCCTTAGGAAAAAATGACTTCATGGTTGTTCATAACCCATCACCTGTTACCAGCAAAACCATTTGGTGACATGGCTTTCCTTCACGAAGGTCATGACAACTTGCTTGTACTTTAGGTATGTGTGATGTCACCTTTCCAGCCACTTAACTGGATTTGGACAAGTCAGGTGGAAGGACCCTAACAGAGGAATTCCATGCTTGGCAATCTTAGAGGAGTAACTGTATTAATAGACATGAATTGGTATCTCACCTCCTGCCCGGACTTGGTGCCCTTATCCCATGCACTGGACAGATTACCTTCAAAGGAGCCACACTGAATCTTCAACACTGGCCTGTGACTCAGGTTAACTAGCAAATGCTACTCAGTCCGTTCCAGACGTACCCTGCTTGCTTTATTTTTCTGCTACTTAAAACAGAAAGCTCATTTGGGCCCGAAGTAATCAAAAGGCAAATAAATGCTGTTGTTCACTGCACGCACAAGTATTAATCCAACTTAGTATGTGGATATTTTTGTCCCATGACCCACTTTTGAATATTGTCTAGGAGAATTGCAGAGTCTGCCTGATTATCCCAGGAAGCTCTCCTGACACCAGTTTTCCTTCTTCGAGAGGACTTTGGTTCCCTAGGCCAGCCTTCCAGAGCCAAAGCCCAGCTGGAATCTAGGGAGGCCAAACCGTTAGATAGTGTTTGTCACAGCAATGCCAGGCAGGGAGCCCACATGACAGAAAACCGTGTGCTGCTGGACAAATTGTCTTTGCTAAGAGGCTGAATGAAACTGACTCACTCATGATCCATTAGACAACTGGCTGGGATCCAGCAGGCTGGAAAATAGCTACACAGAATAAATCTTTGCGTCTGTTGCCAGAGGCCAACTGTGCTAAATTCTCATGGTGTATGTATATAACAGGTAGTTTTGACCCTGCCCTGAGAATACTTAGATAAAAAAACAAAACAAAACTGATTGTATTTGGAATATACTTAAAGTCATTATGCATATTAGAATCTTGGAGACTAATTAAGTTATGGAAATAAAGTAGGAAAAACAGAAACTAGACCTAAAAGTGTTATTTGTTTGTCATAGATTAGAACAGTCCTATGTATACAGTGGATGCTTAATAGAGGTATTTCACTGCTAGCTATGAAGATGATGATGATATGATAAAGTCAGTGACATTTTTCAGGGACAACAGAATACATGTAATTTGCTTTTAATTATTAAGTCAGAAAGCAGCCCAAGCATTCATATAAAAAGCTAAAAGAAGAATCCTACCAATGTATCTCAGCAGCACCAAACTCCCTAATTAGCAGGAAAAAAATTACAAATTTTATAAATTAACCACACCAACGATTCCCACAACTTCTCTGGTGTTATTCTTTCATTTAACTTTTACCATTTTAAAAGCCACCTTTTCCCAAAGTTTCAATCAGTTGAGCGATAATGAATATCGTTATCACACAGACAAATTTGTGGTTGCAACTGGAATTCTCTTTTTTTCGGATCATTTTCAGATTCTGTGTTTCTTAACAGCATGCCTAGTGCAAGTGGGGGAACGGTGTCCTGGGCAAATAAATATGTTTGGGGGGATTTTACCCATAAGGGAAATGGAGCAAAGATTGAGTACAGAGGCAGGAAGAGAATCCGCATCTCACCTTTTAGCTTGAGTGAAAATGAAATTTATAGATTGCCTTTTCTTTGGGGATAGAGGAGCTTAGGCTTGATAAATGGCTAACAAACACACACACACACACACACACACACACACACACACACACACACACACACAGAAACAACAACAAAATTCCAGATTTCCTCATAACTCTTATAAGGGATTCCACAGATAGTAGTTAGATATTCCTACTAGGAAGATAAAATAATGTAAAATCATCTTCAATTCCTATTTCTTTCTTTTGCGATCATCATCCCAGTCTACGTAACAAGAACCCTGATAAAGGATAGTTCTGCTCAAGGTAACAGTTGATATTCAAAAGGAAAACAAAAGTCACATGCTACCTCCCTTACTTTCTTGAGATGCCCATGGAGTTTATCTTCACCAAGAGATCTACAAGTGGAGATTTTCATCCTTGGGAGCCCTGGGTCTTTGTGAGCTATCACTGGCTCAGAGTTTTAGAGCCTAAAGAAAATTAAACAAGGCCTAAAACATTGGATTAAGTGTCCTGCAGCAATACTGCCTATGCTCCTGGGAATGCATACAGCCGGAGGCACTTAGCAGTGATCTCACTACAGGGGTAAGTGGACCACTGGGCCAAGAGAATTAGGGGTTCGTGGGGTCCTCTAACTAATTCAAACAAGAGGAAATTTGATTTGATTATTTTAAATACAAAACAATAGGATTTCAATGGGAGAAAACAGGGAGTCTGCCACTTTTAAAAGTTTCTAAACCAGCGTTGAGTAGCTAGCTCTATGGGATGCTGACTCATTCAAAGCAGTACTAAGTCCACGACCTTGAAGTTGAAGGTGTAATCCAAGTTTGGCTAAGGAAGGGCAAGGATATCCCAGATCACTTTTCTTGAGATAGACCTAAAGTCCTAGATAGACCCCAGAACCAAGTCAGCTTCCTATTGGGTCCTCTTTCCCAGACTAGACGAGACAATGGCACTTCATGCTATTATGATTAGAACAGAAACCAACACATCTTCAGAGAAAAGAAGTAGGACTGAGTCTCACTCAGGCATTACCATGACATGTACATGAAATTCCACACTTTGTCAGGGTCTCACGCACTCATGATCACAAGCTATACTATTGGTTATGAAAAAGATGTGAACCAGCTTGTAGGAAAACGAAATGAAATATAGATGTAATTTACCATATTGTTTCCTTGTTAATAGGTAAGTAGGCCAAATGGGGGCCTCACTACGGAAGAGATAGAATAATTTTTTAAAAACACAATTGCATGTATCTCTGTTCAACATGAAAAGATAAAATGTATCAGGGGGAAAAACAGAAACAACAACAAACGGAGCAATAAACAGGGGAGTTTGTTAATAGGTGCCTCAGTCCCAGTTTGGTTCTAGAAGAAACCTTTGTTCATTCTTTGTGTTATTTGCAAATATTAGGAAAATATTATGAACTTATCATGTCACATTCACAAAGAAACAACACACAGTCCATGAACTCTTCTTTTTTTCTGTTTCTCTTACCATGATCCTGATCCTCGTTTTATCTACAAACTGCTGAACACTCAAGACCACACTACAAAAGCAGTTATTATGAGAATCTGCAAAGTGAAAGATCTTATTGTAACAATTTTTTTTTTCAGATTCTATTATTTGATCACAAAAACCTCAACTATACAAATAATAGGCTCACTTTTTCTTGGACAGCTTTGCAGTTGGCTGTGCAGTTGCTTTTTAGCCCTATCAATCCCTTTGGGTATTTAAGATACTATCTTGCTTTTCTTGGCTACAGCACTCCCTCTTGGAAAACATCTGGGCCACAAGGCACATGTTATGTTTAAGATTATGGTGTGACGACCCTAGGAGGCCAGCGAGAGCCTAGACGATACAAGAACAAATGCGATGCAAAGTAATTCAGCATTTCAAATGCCTAATAGACGAACCAGCAGCGAGCTGTGGTTTCAAGAGTACAATCAAAACAGGAACACGTATTTATTTGCAGAGACTCAAACTGATCACAGTGGAGAGAATATTTATTTATCTTTATTAATTAACAACCTAAAGCAGCACTTGTTTTAATAACTTAATATGTTATTTAAATAATTGTTGAAAAAAACTGTCACTATAATTACACTGGATCTAACTGGGGCTTGGAAAAAGATTTTCTGGGGGTTTCAACCAGGGAGGGAAACTCCCGGCATGTCGAGTGAGTATTTGGTATTCATACATAGTTCAACATATATTTATTGTACATTTACTGCCCAAGAAGCTGGGCTTGAGCAGAGGAGAGTCAGAAAGGTAAAGATTAAAAATAATAAAATGGTAATGATGATGTGATAACAGAATTTTTTTTGTCTTAAGGAGTTTTACAGTCTGCTGAGAAAAATAAGGCAAATTCAAAAATAGCCATTATAAAAAGCTGCTTTGATAAATCTTGGCAGCTGGAAATAAAGGCAGTGTTTGCTTCATGCTTTGAAGTTAATGAAAACTAGTTATGAGGCAAAGTGGTCCAGGTAGATTGAGTGGTTCTGGTGGAAAAATCTACCTGAGAAAATTATACGAAACACAGAAGGACCATGTATTAAATATCTAAGAGCTGCACATTTTCTAAGTATTTTAGTCAATTCTTTTTTTTTTTTTTTCCATTAAAAACAGCGGTAGCTTTATGCCTTGTTTGTCCTCTCATGATTTTCCTTCCTATATACCATCAAAACTCATTCCTATTCTCTTTGTAAGAACCAGCCAGAATGTTAAGGAAGCCCATTTCTCCTCTTTCTCTACTGCAGCTACGTAACCATCCCCGTGTCAGTCTTTGCCCATAGGCCAGTGGGTATATGCAGCAGCACATGTACACCACATGCAGCTCAGAAGATTCTAGAAGGAAGTGGTAAGTAGAGGGAAAGGGGTTTCAGATGGTGGTGCCTGTAATATACCAGATACTGTCAAAGTGCTTTACACACAGTAACTTCATCTACACTTCACAACTCTACAGTTTAAATGCTACTTTTATTCCCATTTCATGGATGAGGAAACTGAAGCTCCAGAACATGAAGGAAGTTGTTGAGAGTCTCACAGCAATAAGGAAGTATGGTAAGAATCAAACCCAGGCAGCGTGCATTCAGTCTGTCCTCTTGAACACTTCATTATACTGTCTCTGACCAATGCAAGTGGGGGAGGGGGGTGGCAGAAAAAATTTTAAATATCATTGCTAAAAGCCAAGGTGCCAGCCCCTGTCCCTCAAAATACTTGGCATGGATTATTTTTAAAATGAAATCTTTCATGAAAACGTTTTGATAATAGCCGTCCAGCACAATTATAAAGAGAGCTTTCTTTGTACTCTTAAGAGCCTCTGAGCTGCAGACTGACTACAGTTATGATTATTGTAAATTTAACCACTTGCTCCATCTCTCACAAGAAAAGCTTGTGGTTTGGAACTAGCCACGTTCTCGCGATCATCAAGTACGAAGCGACAACCAAGAATGTGGATTCTGATCATCTCTCCAGGCGATCAGAGTCCCTGCCTGCGAGGATCACAGCCTTGGCTAATGGTTCTGAGCTTTGTGCTTTCCGCTGGTGATGGATCATCTGCCTAGTCTGACATCCTCCTTAATGGCTCTTCCTCCTCACAATGTGCTCGGGCTCATCTAGGCTTTTGCTTATCCCATATGTGGTTTCCGGTTTTTCCTTTGTCTTCTTTTTTCCTCCCCTTTGGAATAACTTTAAGTGGCTTTAGATAATAGTGCTCTGCTACATCTTCTTTCAACGCATACATCCTCTTCAGCTGCCTGCCTGCCTGCCATCCATCCATCCATCCATCCATCCATCCATCCATCCATCCATCCATCACCTCTCTGCTCACTTTCCTTCTAGAATAGCTTATTTGAATTTCCCACAGATGATACCAGAACGACCTTCTCTCCCCCATTATTGAGGAATGGGTAATGAGAATACATTTTAGATTTCACCAATTCTCTGTAGCTTCTCGTATCTTTTCTTCTTTGCTAATTTTTCTCTTTTCTATTCTATTTATATAGAGTGATATGCTGAAGATGGTTCCAAATGGTTGGTACATCTTTATATAGAACAGGATTTTTAAAAGAAATATCAGCCACCCCAAAGACGGAATCTATTACAGTATTCTTTCAGGAGCAAGATGATGAAGAAGTTGGCAGCTGGTGCCAGGCAGCTCTTGCATCCAGATTCAGAGTCTGGGTTGATTCAGATCAGTTCCTTACTTCCGTGCTAACTGGCTACATGTCCTGTGCTTTGTGGTCTCGCTGCATCATTAAAACCCAATGATTTGTCCTCATGGACCACTCTGAACCTGGCCCATAAATTGAGCACATTTTCCTCCGCCTCCTATGAGTCATCACTGATGCTCTCAAGCACAGAGCGGGTCCCTGGGGCAGCCTCACTCGAGCCGTCCTCAGCGCATTACTATGGAGTCGGCAATACATCTCTGTCTTGTCACTCGCCTTAGGGAATCAGAGAATCTTACTTGCAAGCAGGTACCTAGGTTTTGATCACCTGCCTTTAGAGTATGGATATCTCTTACATTGTAATCAAGTACACTGAAAATAACCTCTTGCCTAAGAAAGAAAGTTTTAAAAATATCTTCTGACTTGTTCTAAACCTAGAAGCTGACACATGGACCAATACTCTCCCCTCCTCCACTCACTCCCTGCCCCACCTTCCTGACTTGGCTCATTCCAGTATTGGGTCCAAAAAGCTCTTCTAGCTACCATATTGAAGAAAATATGACCATTCCTGCCTGTCTTCACTTTTTCTTTAAAGTATCATCCCTAATGGGACGTAAGAAAACTTTATTTCCTTGTCTTTTTTTGTCTCTCTTGTTTGGCTCTCAGTTCAAACTCATTTCTTTTTTTTTTTTCAAACTTCCAAGATGAACAAGGCCTTTAATTTGGAAACCTGGTTTTTGGTTTTTTTTTCTTCTTTTTGCCAAATATTTTGGTTCCTTTTGGAAACAAATAAAAAGGAGTCATATGTGTGCCTTGATACAAGCTATAGTCAGAGAGATAGTACTAACTAGAAGTATAAAAGTCAAGAGGAGGTTTAATAACCTAGACTGGACCATAGAAAGAAATATTTAAGACAGCAATTATAATGATAAAAACACACTGCATGTTTCTTTTTTGTGCTATAATTTTATAATGAATCTGTTTTGGAGGTAGAGCATCAAAATTATAGAGAAAGCTACCTCTAGTCCTAAAATTAAAAACTGTAAATATAAAAATGTGTTTGAAAGCAGGCACTAGACAGGGTCAAATTCCCATGCAGAGTGACTCACTTTCTTTAGGCTCTCAAGCTGGGAGATTCGATTTCTGTGGGATCGTTCCCTATGGAACTGCGTATTTCCTCACATCCCCCTTCTCTAACGTCCCTCCTGGAGGAAGCTTCCCTCGTGCTCCGCTCGGAATTTGGCTCATGGCTTCAGCACATTTTCTTCCACTCTTTATGAGTCATCAGCTGGATGGTGTGAAGCAGAAAGATTTTCAATGTTCTTTGTAGATACATTTTTCTTATTATTATTTTCAAGTTGAAAAGAACCTTCGAGACGCTTGAGACTAGCTGCTGACACACTCTATATCTGCAGCTCAACCAAGAATACACTTAATTGTTTTTACAAGCAATTCTCAATGGAAGTGGAGGGAGGTGACATCCTAGAAGTCTAGGGACAAAAATAAGAATTTGCCTCCGATGGTGGCGGAGGTAGAAATGTGGTGGGAAAGGTGCTTGTGGCTGTGTCAGAAAAAACCTTCATGCCAAGATTCTGACAAGTCTCCATGAGAGAAGGAGACATCCCTAGTTTTCATGTTAGTTGAGAGTCACTGAATGATGGCCCTACAGGTCCCTTTAAAAGAAAAAACTGAAGCACACTGAGGGGTGGGCATGGTGGCTCCCACTGTAATCCTAGCACTCTGGGAGGCCAAGGCAGGAGGATCACTTGAGGTCAGGAGTTCAAGACCAGCCTGAGCAAGAGCGAGGCCCTGTCTCTACTAAACACAGAAAAATGAGCCGGCTGTCCTGGTGTGCTCCTGTGGTAGTCCCAGCTACTTGGGAGGCTGAGGCAGGAGGACTGCTTGAGCCCAGGAATTTGAGGTTGCAGCAGTGAGCTATGACGGCACTCTACCTGGGGCAACAGAGTGAGTGAGACTTGGTCTCCAACCAAAAAAGGAAAAAAAAAGAAAAACAAAAACAAAAAGCACAATGAGGCTGTGACTCCCCAAATGTGATTCAACCAGTTACAGGGGCAGAGCTGAAAACTGAATTCAGGTTTACTGACCCCTAATCAAATCATTTTTCCTGTAAACCCCGTTTTAGTTTGTCCAGAAGTAGGAATGTTTAGCACTAAAAGATTTAGGGGTAGAATAATCCTCAAAATCGATTTATTTGTTCTTTGATCGCCACAGTCCTCGTGGTGATGGAAATACTTTGCATCTTGAGTGAGTCAAGGTCAATATCCTGTTTGTGATACTGTACCACAGTTTTGTAGACTGTTTCCATTGGAAGACACAGAGTTAAGGGTACATGGCATCTCTGTATTATCTCTTACAAGCATACATGAATCTACAATTATCTTAAATTCAAAAATTAACTTTAGTAAAAAATTTATTTAATTATCAGCTAGATTCACCCTCAATAAGAATATGTGTGTGTGGTTACTGAAGAGGTCAGTAGTGTCAGAACTGTCAAAAATTTATACCACCTGATTACCTCTCTGCTCTTACAACTCATTTACTAGCTATCTCACAATAGAATGTTCAAATGGATATAAACTGCTAGAGAAAAATCAATACTAAGCATTTACTAAAGTTGTCCAAATTTGGGAATTAGAAAGGCTCTTCACATGGGTATTTGAAAAAAATCGATAATTTAAAAAACAGTATTGTAAGATTGTTTCCCCAAATAATGCCTCTCGTAGTTTTTTTAATAGTAGAAAAAATATGTGAAGAAAAAGGCAAAGGAATACACACGGAAGATGACGCCACTTTAGGTCCATTACAATCTAAATCATTTATCAACGTAGAAATAATTTACCGGTACAAATGAAAAAGTAAATCCATGCTAAAATCGCTTTCTTTCCTATCACTCTATTTAAAATTGGAACACCTCTTGAGAAAAAAGAAAGAAAATCAGCTTATTTTGATGACATAGGACAAAAGCAAAAACTGTTACAATCCAGTATTTTTTCTATGTATTGATCACTTAAATAATTCTTTCATTGTAGGTAATGTGTAAAGGAGGTCTGAGTATAAGCATGACAAAAATTTTAAAATGGCATGCACCTTCTGGTTTGTTCCCCTTGCCCCTCTGCCCCAGGAATTCTAGAATTTATTTATTTATTTTTTTTTTAAAGAAGCAAATTAGAGAAGCCCAAGGTTTTGTGTAACAGGAATGTAGACCAGGTTCCTGGCTATGGTGCATGATGAGTCAGCAGGGACACTGGCGATATCCAAAGTTAAGTCAAACCTAACAGCAATTCAACAATTTAAAGGAACAAAGGTAACAGAGGAAAACTGTTGGCTTAAGAGGAAGTCTTTCCTTCTAACCTGAAGAACTGGGGAGGGTTGGAAGACTTCCCCTATGTAGGAAGGTGGAGAAACATTAAGATAAATTAGAATTAGGCAACATTTCTCCTGGGAGAACTACAGGCTCCAATAAAACATGGGGGTGGCAGAATGTGGAGTCTGAATATCTACTGTGAATGAACAAATGGGATCCTATTTTTGTCTGCGTGAAATCTGCTGTGCCTAAAAGTGCATTCAGCTTGTTTGGTGATTCCTCTCTTTCCATCTCTTTTGTTCCAGAGAGACTGCGAAGTGGAGGCCAATTTGCATTTAGAGTCAATTTCCAGAGACTGACACACTGAATCTTTCTGCAAATGCTTTTCTTAAACTGTACTGCTCTGCAGTGCAGAGCCTCCTTGACAGTTCTATAGCCCGTGTTTCCTTGCTTTATGGCAATTTACATCACACACAAGCCCTGAGTACTGTCAACTGACATAACACACTAAAACAAAGAGTAAATAAACATGGAAATAGACTCTGTTGGCTTCTGGTCATAAATGTTGAAATGGTGAGGTTCTCAAGTTTGTCTGCATTTAACAGCAATATGTTTCTTTATGGAGCTGATCCAAAAATTTAAAGCTAATTTTAAAAAGTCAGAATTCTTGTTGTGCATAAACAATAGCGAAAGCCTTTAAGCAATAGAGGTAAATTAAAATTGCCTGCTCTAAATGGCTATGATAATCTTTATTATTATAAAGATAAAAGGTTATATATAAATTAGACTGCAAGTATAGTTGACATTGTTATTAGGCTTTTTTTCTTTTTCTTTTTTTTTTTTTGGTTCCAAAGTTTATCTAGGAATGTCTTTAGATACTTGTCAAAATAATATGTGTTTAGATAAAGTATATATTTCTTATTCTAAAATAAGTTATTAAAAAGGAGAGTTGCTTAAAAGAGAGCAGTAAGTTTTCCTACATAAATTTCATCTAAATTACAGATTTACAACAGTTTTCATTTCTAGAAGCTTTACCATAATGATTTATTATTCTAATATTTTTGTACATGTGAAAATAAAACCAATTTACACTTGGGAAACAGCACTTGCTGCTTTGCCCATGACAACTGTTATAGACACTCCAAGTGGCAAAACAGTCTTCCACATAACTCTGTCGCCTATCAGATCTGACTTCTAGAAAGCAACCAATATATTCAGAAAAGTAGAAGGGCTTCAGAGGCAAGGATTACACAACTTATGTTGAAGCCAGTGCATATGATGGAGATTATTTTACTCAGGTTTAACTTTTCTTTTTTATTCTGAAAAAATCTATCATAAACTTTTAAAGCAATTCAAACAAGACATGGTAATAACTTACAGTAAAGATTAAGTTTTAATAAACTTACTACATCTTTAAGCATCATAAGATCTATTTTTAGTCATGACATATTAAAAAGCACAAACTTCACAAAACTACACAGTATATTAATAAAAAACAAAAATCCTGAGATAGTGACTACAACCTCAACCTCTCCCAATCGTAAGGAAAAAAAAAAAAAAACACCTTCTAAGAGGAAATGAAATAATGTTGAAAGTATATTATCCAATTATTATAATTTTTAAAAACACAGTTGAGAAATGATAGCCATTATCGTTCCCATTATAGTACTAGGAATACTGAAGCAAAAATAAGTTTACAACATTCCTATTTGGGGGCTACCATTTGGCTTATTAACATTCAGTCTAACATTTCCATAAGAAACCTATCCCCAGAAGTGCATAGATGTTCAGAGAAGAAAAAAAAATATCTGGTAAACCTCTTGAGGCACACTGGACCAAAGAAATAAGTACATTCCTTTAATTCAGCACTTCTCACTCTTATATATGCCAAAATGCTTTGTGAGTCTCCAGGAACAGAAAATAATTGCCAAACTTTGCTATGAAACAATCCCCCCTCCATAAGCACTATGTCTGCTATTAATTTCCAGAAGGGGTAACTAGGTCTTGACCGGTGCAGACATGGAAGAACACATCTTTTTGTTATGTTGGCAAGATAAGTCAGCATGTTGTTCCCTATTTTTTTAAAACTTTTTAGAAACACGTTTCTGAATTGGTGAAATACAGGATACTGAAAAACACAGTCACTTGTCCATGACCAACGGTGGCAGGAGAGCCATCTGACCACGCCTGTCCCCACCCATTTCACCACTACAGGTCACACACCTACAAATGGAACTCAAGATATCGTGGCACATTACCAAATGCTTCCAGTCACTAACTGACACCTAACGAATTAGGTCCTCATGAATGCACACACACTGTCTTAGTTCTTTACTTGTGATGATTGGAAAGAAACTAGAGAAGCCTGGAAATAAAGTTACTTAAAAGATGGAAAATATATTCTTGTGGCTGTTAATGCACTGGATTTTTTTTTTTTTCATGCAAAGAGATAGTAAGTGGAGAATGAATAACTATTTGCAAGCACATGGAGAATTATTAAAAAATGAAAAGATCAGTAGTTGCCCATTTGAACAGGAGATGACTGAAATATAAGTTCTTCCACCTGGTGGAATGAAGTAACTTAAAACACTGCCCATGTTTTAAATATTTCCCTTTGGAGAAAATACATTTTTATGTACATATTTATATTCTCTAAGTATATAATTCTTATACTACCTTGTTCAGTTATTCTTATTAGCCTAAATGTTCTAATGTCTCTAACACTTATCCAAGTAAATTCAGATTCTCCAATCTAGTATTTCAAGTCATTTAAAATAAAGGCCTAACTATGATTCCAATCTTATCTTCCTCTTTATTCCCATGTGTTCTTTGCTTGAAATTACCTACGTGTCTGCCATATGAAAAAATGACTGCAGACTTTTCACCTCTGAACCTTAGAAGGCTTCTTCCCTCCAACAATTTTTACTTTTTACAACTCTACCCTTCACTCAAAGCCTCCCTTGATCTGTCTAACTAGATGGAATGCTGTGTGTGTAGCATTCACTGTCTCTCATCTTTTCTCTTCCTGCATTCTCCTCTTCAAAAGTTCTTTGCAGGGACTCTCTTAAGTCATCTGGAGTCCCTCTCAAGGCCTTAAGTCTATATTTTATTGTATTTCTTGGATTTGTCCTTTGCAGTCTATTGTTGTAGTTAAGCACAGGAGTTCTGGAAGGATATCACTGAGGATCTACTACCTTCTAGCTTGGGTGAGTCTATTTTCTCATTTAAAAAACAGACCATAATAGAACCTGACTTCTAAGGTGGTTATGAGGATTAACTTAGACAACAAATGTCAAGCACATAGAATTGGCTTGATATATAAATAAATAGGTATTCCAGGTTTATTAAATTAAACTATAAAACTATCTCAAAATTTTTTAAGGATCAAAAGCTCACTTGTTACAAATGGTTTAGGAACAGGTGACCCTTAACCTTCTTAAATTTGACTATTTTATGCTCACCTTGTGCAGTTTTGAGTGCAACTGTAAATTTAATACACATACATTAAATCATGACTATAGGCTGAACTTAAGTAAGCTAACAGTATATTCAATTTTGAAGAAAAAGAACAAAATAAATGCATTAGAAAAGTACATTAGAGAATATGGCTTTAAATAGTGAGATGCACTGGTGGCTTTTAGATGTTTATTTCTTGAGGGTATGGTACAAGTCTATTGTTTGACTTCTGTATGTTCAACTTTTAGAACATATGAAAATAGAGTACTGTCCATGTATATTTACTAGTCTAACAGTAGGGGCTAAACAGGATGCTACCTTGAGTATCTTCCAGGCCTATTGCATAATTTGATTAAGTAAAACTGACCATACTCATATTGTCTCTCAAGTTCCTATACTGTCGTGATCATGGGAAGACAGAGGAATGTAACCAAGGAGACTATTTTATAATATGCAAATAAGTAAGGCATAGACACTTAAGTTACAAGTGCTGAAAATCTAAATATTTATCAATGAACGGGGTTCTTCGTATAATAAAAATAGTAAATTTCCTAAGATTCTAAATCACCTTATTACCTACAAAAAATAATTATACTACTTTTGATTATTTTAGCGGCAAAAACTTTCCATTGATTTTGTCACTCACAACATATTTTATCTATAATTGGTTTTTTAAAAAGGGAAAATATAACAAATGAAAATATTAACATATTTAATTTTATTTGAGCATAATTTTCATTAAGTACAGTGCCTGGAACACAGTGCCTTGTACATAGTAGGTCCGCACTATATAGGTACTCAAAGGATGTATGCACTCTGTGTGCATGTTTACATTGTCTATCTCATTTTTCACTGAGATTCCAAAATATTAAACATTCAATTCCTGGCAAGTATTTTGTGATATCTTTAAAGTCCCTACCATATCTGTATAATGGACCTTAATAAATGAGTCACTGTTTTGATGTCGCAGAAACTGAAATCATTATGCATGTTTATTTGCAGATGGTTAGTTTGCTGGAAGTGCAGCATTTGTATGGGCGACAATATACCAAGAGTTAATTATTATGAAGTTTTACAAATGTTTCCCCAAGCAGCTGTGAAACTATTTACTGGTTTGTTTTGGTTTAATTACTAATTCATCACTGTGTAAAAGAAAAGATGCTAACATACATACATTCTTGATGTAGGTCTATGCTATCTTATTATACTTTATAATAGCAACATCACTTTACTGTCTTTGTTTCCCAGTTAATTAATTTTAAAATGTGATGCGATACAGAGGAAAAGATACAGAACTAGGAAGAGGACGTGGTAAGTTAGGGCTGGGTAAGGATTTCTCCTTAGGTAGGTAAGGATTTCTACAATGAAGGCAAAGCCACATCATTGTACCTAAAAAAAAAAAGTTTATTGATGACACAAAAACATAAAGACACCAGTCAACTTCTTTTAAAAAGTAAATATCAGATCATTTGGTCACAAGCGTCCAAGTGCTTTTGCTTTTATTTCTGTGACTATAGCATGCATTCGGATTTCACTGTCTAAACATTCCCGCACTGATTATATTTTACACTTAGTCACTTCTTTGTCATAGCAATTATCTATAAAATCTATTATGTAGATTACCAGAAAACCTTAATCAGTATCCATGACAAGAATGACATGGTCGCTGTTTGCTTGCTGCTTCCTACTCTCTTCCATGAAAGGAGGTCTTCCAAGTAGCTATGTGGGCCAGCATAATTTAATACAGAGTAATGGGGAAAGAACTGGCTTGCAATCAGACAGATCTGATTTTCCCTCTTTGGCTTCATCATTTATTAACATTGTGTTCTTATGCTGGTTATATAATATCTTGGATCCTTCAGTTTCTCATCAGTAAAACAGGGATAATTAGTATTATGGATTTTATTGTATTATTTTGAAGAGTAAAAGAAATACCCAGGTAATACATTCATTAAACACACCGGATGCTTGGGGTACAAGGGTAAGTCAAAGAAGGCGTCTATCTTCCTAAAGAAGCTTACAGTTTAGTAGAGGAACACAAACAAGGAAGTTTATGAGCGTTATAGTAAACTTCAGCACAAGGCATACTGGGGATACAATGGAAGGAAAGGTAAATTCTGCCTGGGGGAAGGTTATCAAGAAAAATTTCAGAGAAACCTATCTTTGGCTAAGTCTTAAAAATATTCAGTCCTGTGGTCCATTAATGGTTACCATCATTGCTGTCATTATCATCCTGGGCATCTATACCACACCTCACTCCTTCATTGAGCAAAATCCTTATCTCTGTCAACAACAGCTAAATCTCCAAGTTCGTAGAAATCATGTTTTCATAGGAGCAAACTGGATTTATTTAAATTGTATTCAGAATCAATTCACTGTAATTAATTGTACGGTAACCTGTATAGGGTGAGCCACTCATACCACTTGCCTGGGGCTTTCCTGGTTTGAGAACTGGACATCAGCATCCCAAGCACCGCCCAGCCCAAGCCCAGTACCAGATTTAAAACTGAGAGTCCTCTGTGTTGGGCAAACAGGAACAACTGGTCATCCTACATCTATGTTAATGGTTAATATGGCTTACATTCGGAATTTCCCACTTTACTCACAGCACATTCATTTGGAAAATTTGGAACTGAAGATAATTTCTAGTCAACCAACCATCAGACACACTGACAATAACCTTTTATAAGGATATGGTAATTATGTTCACATTATACTCAATTGAACTCATTATCTTAATTCGCAGTTAAATGCAATCAAGGGTAAATCCGAAGGATTAACCGAAAAGTAAAATGTCACAGGTTAATTTACAAAATGACATCCTCGATGCCTAAAATATTATGACATTTTATTACTTTGAAAGTAATCAGCTTTTTTTAATCTCTAAAAGATCAGAAAGGAGCAAGGTAATAATAACTTCCAGGAGTTAGGATACTTACATTATTAGCTGCTCAGAGGATTAAATGTATTTATAAGTGCATTAGCAAAAATTCCCTTCATTCTAATCAAAATGAATGTGTTTCATTCAAGAATATCTGGACTTACTATTTTGCTTTCAGGTGACTAAGACCAGAGAAATAGACTGGGCCTGCAATTCAGTTGTTACTTACTACATGTCAAAAATAAAAACATTTGACTCATTTGACCAGTCATCTTCTTTAAAAAAGTAAGTATCAGATCATTTGGTCACAAGAGCCCAAAGTTCAAATTAATCCAGAATAGTAGTGTTGTATCTGGTAATGTAGAGTAAATTTATATTATACAATAGTGGAAGAGAAGAGGGGAATCCATTCAAATTTGTTAATGTATTAGGATAGAAAATAAGATAACAGTGTTTTTGAGAGACCTAAATGCTTACTATTTTGAGAAAGACAACTGTAGTTATCATGTGAAGATAATTACTGGGCCATAAAGGGAGGGTATGGCCCTACTTTCATTATTTTTAATTTTGCAAACTATATTTCATTTATAACGTTAAAACTACTATCTAGAAAATAAATATGTACTATATATTGTTAAGAATTTACTAAACTATTAATTAATATGTTTAAACTATTGGCATGAAAGCTCTAGAATTCCAAATTTATCATGGCTACAGGACATTTTACCTTTTACATACAGGAATCAGTATGGAAAAACAAATCAGTCTTCATTTGTCTAGAATAGAAAGCTCATTATCTGAATACAGATATTTACTATTTTCCTTTTCCTTTTTATTTTTTTCTGAAGAGACAGGGTCTCACCATGTTTCCAAGGCTAAAACTCAAACTCCTGGGCTCAAGCAATCCTCCGGCCTCAGCCTCCTGAGAAGCTGTGACTACAGGGACATGCTATCATGTCTGGCCACTTTTTTCTTTTCTATGCTATTCTTTTTCTCATATTTTTTTCAATTTTCATCCTACCCAAGCATCTGATGGTGTTTAATAGCCAACTTTTATCCAGCTCAATTCACCAACGAACTGAAACTGTTTTTCTTGCGCTATTAAAATTATGGAAAAATCTCTTGTAATACATGGATTTAAAAGATGCTACATACAGCAATGGCTGACTTTGTATTAGTCTGGGTGCTGCACGTGTTATAATCTGTCTTTCACATAAAGTAATGAAAATGGTTATCTACTTATTGTCCTTACCAGTGAAGTGGCATTAATTAATTTCACCAAAGCCCGGAAGTCCAATTTAACCTTCCTTATTCTTATGTTAATTGCTTTGAAGAAGGTGAAGCAATTGATTGAGACAGGAGCTTATTTCAAAAGCCTTGGATATAATGAGAGTGCTCCTGACCGCTCATTAAAGCTGACCATCATGTAATACTAAGGATGAGCACATTAAAGAACCTGTAATTAGACTCAGAGTGAAAAAGTCTACAATAGTCATTTCATACAACACCCACAGAAAAAGAAAGAAAGTCTATGTTATGTAGGCTCTAGGACCAACAGCCGACATAACTGATAACTGACAGCAATCTTAGATCACAGGTGACATCGACAATATTATTTGTCTCTTTGCTTCTCAAACACGCAGCACATTCTCTACTGCTCCCCCACTCTATCCTTTTGAAAGTAGTTTCGTTCAGATAGGTGGCCTGAGACATTAGCTGAAAAAAACAAAACTGGTGAGGCTTCCATGATGGGCTGTCGTAAAATGTGAATTCATGTCGCACTTGAAAGAATTTAGATGATATTAAATGTATAAAATGGACTTTTTATGCCCATTAAGCCCACTAAACAATTAATATGCACGATTCACCCACAAAGGAGTCGGAAATAAAAATAAAGTCCTAAGCCCCTCAACCAGTTGAATGGACCCCTCTTGGCCAAGGGGGTGCCACAGACACCTGAAAACTGAAACCCCAGCCACGACAGGACAGGAGGTTTCCCTTGCAAACTGCCACTTGGCTTTCCTCCCTAAAAGGTAGACAGAAACCAGCCCTGTGGAAAGCCTTGTTCCACCACCGATTTCAATCAACCATCTAATGCTGCTGCTTTTTTTTTTTTTTTTTTGTGGTTTCAACACAGCTGATCAGCATTTCTTCCTGGTAAGAGACCAGGGGGCTGGCTGTGGAGTGGTTCTGGCCAGTCTATGCAGGACGGACACACAGAAAGGGTTTTCATGTCTTCTGCTTCACCTTTGACACCCCAGGGCCAAAACTCCACCCTTGGATCATGCTGACACTGCCCCTTTTTGGACGTGCTACCCACGAAAGGGTGTGAAGCGCAATTGTGCATGTGCACGTTTCTCCTTTCATCAATATTCTTCACTACGCCTATGGCTTATTAAATATGTATATTCAGATACCCTGCTCAGCTCGGCATGAATTCCTGTTCCCTTTACCATTCCCTGGAAGTACCTGATCTTAGCTTCCGGCCAGAGGCTATGTAATGGTTCCCAGCCTGTCAGAATGGCCACCCTGCAGGCTGCAACCCTTTATGAGAAATAAAACTCTCCTTTCTAAATTTATGAACCTTGCCATTCTTCAGCTGACGGGAAATAGAGGAGTATTGGTCAGTAAGGTAATCTGATCAATGTTGGAAAAACCATGTGTTTAGAGGATTTTTGTAAATAGAATCTAAATTGAAAAGAATCGAGTGATTATGGCAGAAGACAAAGTGTACTCCCAACTAGGTATACTCAACATAGGAAAATATACTATCACTGGTGGAAAAAAAGTTTTGGTAAATGTTGGAAATATGCTTAATTTTAAATTCATAAGAGCAATTATGGGGGTATGAAAAACTGGGGGGAGAGGCTACTCAATTCTGCTTTTCATTATGGGGTCTCAATGGCCTACTAGGCAAGTGGAAATTGCTTGAGGGAGTATTTTTAAGGTGTCTGGGAGAAATTCCAGGTAACATCAATGATTGAATGAAATTCTCAAAATTTACAAAGATTCTGAAGGAATCATAACTTATTTTAATAGCTATTTATAATGTTCATGCTATAGAGATGGCTACACTATACATCTTCCTTAAATCATCTGACCTGATTATATAACAAAAGAAATTGGGTAATATTTGGGAAAGAGTCAACTTAAGTATTCACTAATACATTTTGAAATTATGCACCTGTTTAAAGATGAAAATATGATCAATGAACCATATACTTAAGGATTATCACACATTTTGCATATTATTTAGTCTCTATACTCTTCAGGTAAATATGAAAGCCATTTATTAAAAAATTATTTCCTGAGAACCTAGCGTGTGCTGTGGATGATGAGATAATAAGATTAAGTCTTTATTTTTTACAGAATTTACAGTAGAGTCAAGGAGACAGTATCACTTTAATTAATATTAGTTGATATTAATTGACTTAACCATCCCCACTTGAAAAGTGACATCAATGGGAGCATAAATCTTATACCCATTTCTCATCAGTCATTATAAATGGAAGAAATTTAAGGCAAACAAACCGGAGCAAACTTAAATGTTGCCTGCTGTTGTTCTTCCTCCTAGTACCACATTCCAGTCCGTGGAATGACTGCCCGGACTAGTGACACTAGACACACCCCAGGCACACAGGAGGCGTGGAGAACAGGGAAGCTGCCCAACTCGATACACGCATGTCTGATAAAACCACAGCCAATATTGATTAAGTGTCAGTCGTGGTTAAAGTTGACCAAGTCCTATTTACATATGTCATCTCACTGAACCCTAGCAAGAACCCAGAGAGGAAAAAATGAAAATGCTAACATTTAAATAAATTGCCAAGGGCACAAAGGCAGTCAATGGGAGAGTTGGAACTAAAATAATCTAGATTCACAAACTTCTGTCACAGAACATTATTGTGAGAAAGTGGCAGTGGGCAGAAATAATGCCCACGTGGCACTGAGTCTGACGCTCAAGGGGGCAGCCAGAGGGCAAAATGTTGCACCACCCCACCTGAACCTTGCTAGGGTCAACATTGGCCACCTGCTGTGGTCCATGAAGACTGATTTAACAGGAGCAGGTCCCCAAGTATCTTTCCTTTGTACTTCTCCCAAACCACTGAGGCCATCCCACAGAAAGGAGTCACCAACTTTTGTGTCACCAGATGATACCAGTTAGGTGGTCACTAAAATACCAGAATAAGGTAGATGGGCTTGCCTATGTGCTAACACTCCTCTATTATGACTATTGAAATAACAATAATTACTATTGTTACTATTACTAATTAAATTAATTATGATTATTGTCATGATCTCAGGTGTATGGCCCAAATTAGTGAAGGGATTTGGCAAAGGATGCAAGTGTTCCTGATTCTCTTGATTTGTGGCCATTTGAACAGAGAATGACTAGAAATTTCTTTTTACTTAGTAAATGCAAGCAAGGCCCAAATTAACATGATAAAATTAATGAGTATTTTCCATACAAAAGAGTATGTGGTTAATTTAATGAAATAATTAATAAACTGCCATATTTTATTCATCATATACCTACTTTCACTAGGAGCTGGGTTGTAATTCCCCTTATTGCAATATTTCTCTCTCCTCTTATCCCAATGACCCCCCCCCAAGCACCCCTCCACACCCAAGCCAAGGCAGGAAGTCACTTATCTTTATTCCCTTCTTTCAAGCACTTAAAAAAGTTCTGGAATATAGCTGCTGCTGAATAAAAGATTGAATAAATGTCTTGTAGCTAAGCAGAAATGACAAAAATCAGCCCAAATTTGAATGAAATATTTTACACTTTGAAAACAACCAAGATATTTTTATCTGCAGACACGTAAACTACCTTCATTCAAATCTGAGCAATATGTACCTTCTAGGAAAAGAAAAAAAGGATGTGTTATGAAAGATCAGATGACAAAGGCTTGAACTAAGCCTGGAAACATCCACAAAAGTGTTTCTCTTAATGAATATGAAGGGGTCTTGATCAACATTCACTTGTAATTTAAAAAAAAAAAAAATCTTGTGTCTATAACTAGATATGTCCTGTGAAGGAAGTGTTGTTTATTAGTGCAAACAAAACAAGAAACAGTATGAATTCAAAATTCCCAAGGGAAAAAAAAAAAAAACCCACAGCTTAGTTTGCATGGGTGACAGCAGGAACACCAGAGAATAATTTTCAATAAGAACATATATGAACGTGGTCTTGCTCTTTTGTAATACAGACAAACCATGACTTTGTATGATGTCCAATTCAGCACAAAGGCCATACTCTTATCATTGCTTTTTTTTTGTGAACTAGTACAAAACATGGAATGCACCCCTAAAGTGAAACCACTGCCCTTACATTTTTGCAGTGATATTTCATATAATACAAAGGCCAACTGCTCTGGTACACTTGGTCCAAAGACATAAGATTGAGAAATACCTTAGTGGATATTGTACTAGATGGAGAAGGGTACTTGGGCTCTATCATAGCATGTCACTATCTGTTAGTGGGATCAAGGGAAGCCACTCAACCTCTCTTTTTTTTTTATATATTACATTTTTTTTTTATTTTGGCATATTGTGGGGGTCAACCTCTCTTGAGTCTTAGTTTTATCACCTTTAAGATGTCAGAGGTGAAGTCGCCAAGCACCCCTTTATACTAAATGATACCACTTGTAAATCTAAGAAATTAAATTGACTACTTTTAAAATTATATATTATAAATTAAAAAGGCCTGTATCCAGTGGTATATTCAGATATACTGCCTAAGTGTTTTTGGGGCATTTAATACTTTGCTTTTTTATCAACTGCTCTAAAAAGAGTATCAGAGAACACATTCAAGGAGTTTCCTGTGGTCTGAATGACGCTGTCCCAAACTTTTATTAGTTGCCTTGTGCTAATTTAGTGGAGAAGCCTTTAAAACAACCCATTTACAATCACTGCTGTCACTCTTTGCCTATTAATTTCCTTAAATGTTTTCTAACATTGGGAACAACTTGAAAAGAAGACTATGCTCATGGCCAGGAAATATTCAGGCAAGAAATTTCATGAGCTCTTTAGTTTGACTAATGAGCTTCATTACGCTTTCACAGATTGTTTTTTTAACATTACCTTTTACTTTCTGTCCATGTCTTGGACTTTGAATAACTACAGATTTGTTTCACAAAATAAAACTGAATAGCTTTGGTAACCCCTTACACGTTGAAACACTAACTCTTCAGTTAAAAAATAAAACTACACTGCTGTCATAAGACAAATACAAGATTATATTTAGTTTTTCTAAGATACTAGTACAGGGTTAGAAATAGATGCAAATAATAGAGGCTTCCATGAAAATGCCTTTTGCTCCTTGATATGATGATAAAGTTGAAGTCAGACATGGGTAAAATGCATTAAAAGGAGTCAAGATTGCTTTACTCAATTTTATCATGATCCAGTCCACTTTAGCCTCATAAAAGGCATGTTATAGCATTTTTCCAGCCATATAACCTTAAAGTTATAAGTAAAGGGTTTCATGTGTACCCTTACCGCAGTGGACAAAGAGCATTCAGCTCAATTGTCATTCTGGGGCAGTGTCAAGTAACCTCGATTTGGAAACTGGATACCTCCAACTGACTGCACAATTCATGGGTGCTTAGAAATATGGAGCAATGCAAAGGATTTTCACAGTGCAATACAGTCACAAATCCACTGCAGCAGTCAACCTGGAGCAATCAGATTCTCTTCCTATAAATGTCTGCCTTGCTCTCTCTAGATACGAATAGACCACATGGAAGAAAATAAAGGATTTGCCAAGTTCTTTTTTTTAATCCATTTCCCACTGTCAAAGAGCCATAATTTAAGATTACCACTTGCTATTTATTCTTCTAACCCATCAAAAGACATTACTGGAAGTGGAAACGGTGGAAGATGGTGATTTGTAAATCTGTTTTTTTTAATTACTGTACTAGTTATGTGCCATCATTCATTGCACAAATATGATTTCATCTATTTAACTACAGATGAACTAAAAGGCTTCAAAATATCAGATTCTGTTATTTTTACACGTAGAGATGTCATAAGTGACTGACTGACAGATAAACTCTATCATCTACCTTCTCTTACAGTAGTGCCACATCTATTATAATTAATTTAATCGAAAAATTTATAAAGCTTTGAAAGAGATTTTACTTTACATAGTATGATACGCTATCAAATCACATTGACTAGATGAGCTGTGTTTGCTCAATTGCTGGAATCATCTTTGCTGAATGAATGAATTCATCATTGCTGCTTTAAAATAATTTGCTTAGTGGTCTGACACCAAACCATTTGAAAGTCACGTTTTTAGCTTTTAATTATGTGTATAAATACTATGGTCAGTACTGTATGCTTAATCTTAAACACAATTCAATTTCAACTTTAAAGTTCAGTGAGAATAATTTGTACGTTTTTGTTTTATCAAACAATTAATTATTGTCGACAGCTAGTTAAAAAAGAAAAAAAAAGTTTTTTTATATCATCAATCTATGAAGAATGGGAAAGACAGGCATTAGAAATACTTGAGTACTTTGTCAACTCTTTTTGCTAAATATCTCAGAGAGCATCATCAATATCACTTTTATTATTATTATTGGTCTTAGTATTATTTTAATGAAGATAAGAGACAAGTAGTGCTGTGAAGGTCAATACTGTAAGTTTTTGATCTTGAGGTGAAAGATACTATGTAAGTGAAAGAAAAATTTTCTAATTAAAAAAAGCTTACCATATCATTACTGTATACCTAGATGCATTAATACTTTGGCTACAAAATATCCATGCTATGGTATATCATAACATTTAACCTACACATGGTGGACATTTAGATTTATATACAGAGTTTTGCTGTTATAAACAGTCACATAAGTGTGGATTAATTTTTCTACACTAGATTTTGGGGGTTCCAGGGTCTCCAATATTCTCCATGTGGGATATTCTCACAATGAAGGAACAAGATAGCAGAGTAATGTTAGAAGTAGTGAATAAAAAATGTTTGACAATAAAAACAAATGTAGGAGGTGAAAATCACAAATTAGAATAGGGGTTAGAAAAAATGGCTCCGGTTTCAAGGCAAGCGGAGGGTAGTTAATTCAGAAAGAAACAAGACACCTCTATAAGGCACAATTCAGTCCCAAAAGTGAGTTTGGATAAGCAACATAGAAACCAATACCTTTTCTTCTCACTTAAAGTATAAATGATGACTTTCTTTTTTTTTTTATTTTTTTTTTTAAATTTTTTTTTTTTTTTTTTTTTTTTTTTTTGAGACAGAGTCTCGCTTTGTTGCCCAGGCTAGAGTGAGTGCCGTGGCGTCAGCCTAGCTCACAGCAACCTCAAACTCCTGGGCTCAAGCGATCCTTCTGTCTCAGCCTCCCGAGTAGCTGGGACTACAGGCATGAGCCACCATGCCCGGCTAATTTTTTCTATATATATTAGTTGGCCAATTAGTTTCTTTCTATTATAGTAGAGACGGGGTCTCGCTCTTGCTTCAGGCGGTTCGAACTCCTGACCTCGAGCAATCCGCCCACCTCGGCCTCCCAGAGAGCTAGGATTACAGGCGTGAGCCACCGCGCCCGGCCTTAAATGATGACTTTCTATTCACATAAATATGTTTATGCCCCATTAGTTTACTTTTTATTGAATTTAGTAACCAAGTTGTTTAACTAAAAGCACTTGAAACTTATTTATAGAGATACTACAAGGGGGTCCATTGTAAAATACAAATGATTAAACCAAGCTAATTAACATTTTTATTAGTATTCATTAGTTTCTGCTTTTAGGAGTTTCTTTATATTCAAAAACTCACATTCTAAGAATCAAAACAAGAAACAGCAAGAAATTGATTGTGTATCTGTGTGTGTGTATGCAGGCTGCTTAACATTTTTAAAGCAGTTTAAGATGAAAATAATCTTGTTGATTACGAAAATGACTACATTCCATGTATTCCACTTGAGCTTTAATTAATCCAGGCATGATTTTCCTTAAAATGTTGACCAGAAACTATCCCCAGGAAACCCCTAATCTACTCCTCTCATTTGTTATAAAGGCTCTCCCATGCTAGATACCTGGAACAAAGAGGTCCCTAATCAAATCAGCCTTTGGCTTTCCGGGTAAGGCCCCACATGTCAATCCTGCTAAAAAGCAGAAGGAATCCTGAACCTGCATGTTGCAAGAGGTTGAGGATGAACAAAGGAAGAGGTGAGGAAAAGCAAAATAATCCCTGGCCTTTGTCACTGAGCTCCTTCCAACATCCACTCGTCAAAAAAGTTAAACTAGAACCATTCAAGGCTCATTTTTTATTTTTTATAAATTTGCTAAAGAATAAAGCAGCATAGGAACAAATCTCAATGAATATAGCAGCCAGGAGTGAAGAAGCACTACTTAAATAACAAAAGCTTCTATGTGTGTTATCCCTGCAAATCTCCCATAACTGCCTCATTTCTTGGGGCTAACAGAAAATCTGGGTCTAGGTTGCCCTCTTCTCACTGTGAGATGTGTGATTTTATTTATTTTATTAATATTATTTTTAATTGACAAATTATAGTGATATACATTTATGGGGCACTATGTGATGTTTTTGATAAATGGACACAGTATGGAATGACTACATCGAATTAGTTAACACACCCATCACTTTGCTTACCTATGGATGTATGATTTTAAGGTAAACAAGGAACTTTCCTGGCCCTCCATGCTCTCGTGTTTTAAGAGCTTGGGCCAGGGTTCACACCCTCAGCAAATGCTTTCTGAGCACTCTCTCTGTGCTACAAAATAATAACATATATCAAAGTACTTGAATATTTTTAAAATGCTACCCAATTTTAAATTACTAACTTCATTGATTTTTTTTTTTCACTATTTCTGCATGCATAACAGTAACAACTTTTAACAGCTTGATATGTTTGCCTGTTTCCAGAGATCCTGGGATTTGATGGGGAAAGGTGCGGGTGTGTTTGTGTAGGGCGGTGGGTAAGAATGGATTAACTATCAAAATATCGCCAACAGCCCTCACAGGCAGCCAGCCATTCTCTTCCAGAAGCTGTGGAGCAGGTGGAGAAGCCTGAGAAATTAGTTCCCTGAAGTAGAGCCAGAGAGCCTGGGAGAAAGGAGAAGTTGTGAATTGTATGCGGAAACACTTTTCATGGGCTCCAAATTTAGTGAATTTACACCTTCTGAAGTTTCCTCTCTCTTTTCCCCTCCAGCTGAAATGCAGTTCAACCTCAAAACCTCTCGCCTCTAACCTTAACTACACTCACACTTATTAAATGGCCAAAGCAGCCCGTTTACCCTGGAGTCCTGTGGCATGATGAACACAGCAAGGGAGAAGAGAAGGAGGTTTTAAAATATGTCTTAACTAAAAAAGAAAATCCTTACAAATCAAGAGAAGAAGCACTTGGTTCAGCGATAACGAATTAAACATAAAATTTCAGATGTTTGGAAATTTAATGACATAAAAATGCTCGTAATATAATGTCAAATTTGAAAAAGGAAGATATGAAATTGAATATTCAGCTAGATGCCAATTTGGTAAATATACATAATTCCATGAGACAGGAATGAGATATAACGCAAAATGCCATATTATATCATTTTCTGTTTTTTTTTTTTTTTTTTTTACACACTTTTCCAACCCTCTTTAATGAATTTAAGAATAACAAAAATAATAAAGATCATTCCCAAATGGCCGGCTTAGGGTCCAACCAGGCTGGGAAAGTCACATTTCAGTGTTTTAGCACATGCCATGAAGCAAAACCCCGAATTTTGAAAGTCCTGCCCCAGTAGGACCAACTCCAATCATTTCTCCGAAATAATGAAATATCTTTTAGCCAAATCTCAGATTAACTGTAATATTTTGAAGAAACCTACTGGAAGTCACTCTATTAACTCAAATGTCAGTGCGCAGCAGAGAAAAGCTGCTTAACTCCAAATGCCAAACTCCAATCTGACTTTACTTACCTTTCTGGAAATGAGTAGCCATTGGGTTGTAAACATCTTGAACAATTCAAAATAAATGTAGCTTATTTTAACCAACACTCTTGGTTATTTCCTTTTTCTGATGTCTACATGTAGAGTTTTCTTTATGTGCTTTTGGGCCCTAGAGTTGAAGTGGACCTCAGCAAAAAGGAAAACCAGATGCTTATCAAAGATTTCACATATCTGACACATTATGAACGAGTCTAAATCAATATAATTGGTCAAAAACAACATGTGGTATACATGCCTTATTCTATTTTTTTCCTATTTTCATTTCTTTCCTATAATTTTCATGTTAGCCCTTTGACAATCCCATCTTCATCATGGATAAGAAATGGAAAATGAATATCTATGTAGAACAAGGTAAAATAAGTACCTCAACAGCAGGAATATTTTGAGACTTAAATAAGTAATTTCCAGAAAGGAAAAAGTGGTCAGAATATCACTTGAATTTCTGTATACATCAGCGATAAACCCTACCTTGCAAACTTTGGATGTCTTTAAAATGTTATTCCTTATATTAATATTAAAAGGGAATATTCTCTATTAAGGAACATCAAAGAAACAATTCTATTCCAGACAACCAAAAGAAAATTAATTATTAGACGAGACAGAAGAAGAAAAGAGGATTTTATTGTTGGAAGCAGAAGTTGGGTCCATGTACTGATTATAATAATCAAGGCTATTGATATTAACATGTCTTCACTTTTTTCTATTTCTAAACTAAAGTTTGTAGGCTTGTTAAGAGTCAAAAAAATGCTTCCAATGAAGCAGGCTCCTCCTATATATGCTCAATACAGTAATAATCCTACAGAAGGGAAATTAAACAGAGAACTAATGTTTTACCCTGGAAACTAAAAACCAAACAAAACATTAGAATAATAGTTGGTATAATTAATTATGCCATAATATGGTCTTGGGAATTTACTATCTCTCTCACCCACATTAAGCAAGAAACCGTTCCAATGCACTAGATGAGCCAGCTGTGTGGTGACATGGGACATCCAGGGGTCCCTCTAATGAGACCCCTCCTTCCACTATGTGTCTCCCAGTAATCACATAGCCAAGAGAGCCAACACAAGTGACACTTCAATCACCTAAACGCATAGTTTTCTGGTTGAAACTCACTAGTGATAGAAACTAGATCCTTTTTTTGAGCTCACCTGGAGAACAGTCTATTGACGATGCAAAACACAATGAATCTTACCAGGAAATCCTGGCTGGGACTGTCCTGAGGATTGAACAGTCAAGGAAAGGGGATGTGACAGTCACTTAACCAGGACCTCACATTCAAAGGAGCAGCACAGCAGTCCCAGCTTCCTCTTACCAACCCTCACCATCACCCATGGAATAATGTCATAAGAGCCTTTTTATAAATAATTCAAAGAGGCAACTTGCATTCTCAAACTGATAACCTGTTTGAAATCATTTGGGTGTGTCAGTAATCAAAGTCAATCAGCCCTTTTTAATGAGTTAGGATGAGAGATCTTATAAATGATAAAAAAAAGGTTAAGAAAAGAAGAAATAAGTGAATTTTAAGTCTCTGCTTTAGTTAAGAGCATCTGTCTAGCAAGCAATTGCTAGATCTTAAAAAATCCATAGTACTATTAGAAGCAGGCATTTTTAATATATAATAAAGTATGTTTAACAGTATGTTTCCATAAGACATTTTATTTTTCATAAATTTGACTAAATTCACACACACAAAAATAATACCACTGGTTTAACTTTCATATCCCTGATGAACAAAAAATATTTAGACTGTTACATTCATGTTCATCTCAGTATTATCTACAATAGCCAAGAGGTGGAAGCAACCCAGTGTTTATTGCCAGATGAATGGATGAACAAAATATGGTATATACTGTCATGCATTATATAAGGACTTTTGATCAACAACCAACTGCATATATGACAGTTGTCCCATAAAATTATAATATATTTTTACTGTAGCTTTTCTATACTTACATATACTTAGGCACACAAATACTTAACCATTGTGTTACAACTGCCTACAGTATTCAGTATAGTAACATGCTGTACAGGTTTACAGCCCAGGAGCAACAAGCTCTCTATACCATATAACCTAGGTGTGCAGTAGGCTATACAATCTAGGTTTGTGCAAGCACACTCCAGTACTTCAATGATGAAATGGTCTCACGATGCATTTCTCAGAATGTATCCCTGTTGTTAAGTGCTGCATGATCTTACATACAATGGGATATTATTCAGTCTTAAAAATGAAGGG